GACTATTAAAGTATTGATTTAAGAAAACGATTTTCTTGACACAGGATATTTGGGAAAAGAACAGATATTCTTGATCCAAGAAAATATGGAATTCGATCAAGAAATTAAGTAGCATGTAAGAAATGCAGAATATATTAATTCAAAATCATTTATGTATCAAATCAAGAAAGTATGTTCTCTGTCCGAGAAAATATTTTCTTGATTTGAGAAAATTTATAGTTTTCAATCAAAAAAATACTTTCTCAATACAAGTAAATTATTTACTTAAATTACCCCTCCCCCTTACCCCTATCCCATCTTTTCTAATACTTAGGTCAAACATTTTTATTATATAATTAATTAACATTTATATTTTTTATTTAAATAATTAAATAATTGTTATTTTACATATATATTTACATATATATTTACATTTAATTAATACTTAACACAAATACAACAAATATACCTTGAAAGAAAATTATCCACGGTCGGAGGAATTGAACTCGGGTTGCACGCACCAGAAGCCGTCACGCTACCACTATGCCATCCTAGCCTCAATGGACAGTTTTCAAAAACTGATATTTAAGTTGCATATACATTTGAAGAAAAATATTTTCTTGGATCAAGAACACCGGCATTGTGTCAAGTAAAAAAAAGTTTTAAAGCAAATAAATAAAATGATTCGATTCAAGAAACATGAATTCTCCACACAATACTTTATTATTTCGCTTAAGAACATGATATTCTAGATTCAATACTTTTTGGTACTTCGGAAAAGTAAAATATTTGGTTGAAATAATTACATATTTAGTTCCGCCATATACTAAATTCTTAATTCAAGAATTCTGTTCAATGCTAATAATTACTTGACACAAGAAAATGAATTTCTTTCTTCAAATAAATATGGGATTAATTGAATGTAATTTTTAATCAACTTGAAACAAATATTTACTTATATTAAGATCTTACACTTAATTGAATTGAATAAATAAAATATTTCATTCTAGAAAATATAAAATTCTCGCAAGAAATTAATGATTTTGAAACATGATAATATAGAAATGCTTCAAGTAAAAGAAATGCTTAGATTAATTAATATTTCTTTGAAACAAAATAATTTTTAATTGAGTTGAAACAATTATTAACTTGTATTAATCTTCCCATTTTCTTGGCTCAAGACTATGGGTGTTGGATGAAATAAATAGTTGCTTTAAAGGAAATAAAAAAATTATTTGACTCAAGATACCAAATGACTCAAGGTAAATTACTTGACGTGAGAACATGATATTCTTGATTCAATACTTTTTCGAGACTTGGCGCATGTAAAACAGTTCGTTTGAAACAGTAAGATATTTACTTATGTCAAACCCATATTTTCTTATTCCAATAACTTTGATCAATGCTCAAAATTACTTGACACAAGAAAATAAATTTCTTCCAATAAGAAAATATGGGTTTGCTTCAAATAAATCAGGTCAAGAAAATGCATTTACTTGATTCAATGAACTTTTTTTTCAGTGTAGATGTAGTGGGGAGTACAAGGAACCAAAAAATCATTGAGACAATGATGTGCCTCAATTAAAATAAAAATGGTGTACCTTCAAACTTGCGAGACAACTTTTCTTAAATTCTGACAATTTAGCAATTAACTTATTGATATAACTTTTTTAACGAAGATTTTTAAGTAACCATAAAACGGGGTTACATTGTCTACATAATAAGAAATAATTTGAACCCTTACACGAATATGTGCCACTTATACATTAGGAATGCAGTGACTTCAAAAGTTAAATTTAAAAACGAAACTCATAATAAAAACCCACATTTTTGAAGGGCACATGTTGAATTTGACTTCTAATCACATTTAATAACTCATTGTAATCTCTTCTCGTACGTTATAAAAGTATACAGAAAAATCGTTAACCTCTACACTATTCCTAAAAAGAATTTATCTAAACAAGAATTAATCAATTTTAAATTTCATTTTATTTTCATAAGCGTAATTTAATTTTAAATTATTCATTTAATTTATTATTTAAATTTTATTCTGTTTTTAGAATTGTAAACTTCTTTTTTTCTAAGTTTCCATGGTAATATTGTTTTTAATGTGTCAAAATGTTTTGATTGCCGAATGTAGATATTATGTATTTTATTTAAATAATATTAATTATGGATAAAGAAAGGGAAGTAAAACTTTCAATTAAAACGTTATTCATTTTTTCTTCATACTGTTTGTACTTTTAATATAAAATAAAACTAGAAAACTTTTTAGAATATTAAAATAATTATATCTCGTGGATATTTATTTGTTCACTTCTATTGCTTTTTAATGATAATTAATCCCAAAATATTTTCAAAACAGTATTTAAAATATCAATAATTTTTATGACATTTTGAAACCACTTTTAAAATTTTTAAAAAACTAAATTCAGATACATAATAATAAGCGACCCCAAAAACCCCTTCATACCCACTTCTGTGTAAATTGAATTATTTTTTAAATTTTCATCCGCCATATTGGATCCGCCATTTGGAGTTTTCGAAATCCGACTACAGAATCATAATCAGCGACCCCAAAAACCCATGAATATTCAATGCTGTGGAAATCCATTAATTTTTTAAAAATTTTGTCCGCCATATTGGATCCGCCATTTTGAATTTTGAAAAATTAACATCATATTCGTAATCAGCTACCCTAGAAACCCCAAGATACCGATTGATGTGAAAATCCAACTTTATGAAAAATCTATGCATTTAGAAACATTTTCTTGGGGTTAAAACTCATACACAGAGGGGTTAACAATATGTAGAAATGAGTATCGCAAGGTTTTTTCTACTATTTGATCAATGCACAAAACAATAAAATTAATTTCAAGAATGTGCCTTAAAAAGAAAAATTAAGTTTTCCAATACCTAAAAGTTTAAAAGTTCTAGAAATATGCCCATATATATATAATTATTTTTGTTACAGATATATTGGATGAATTCATATGCCTGGTGGCATGCTAAGTATTTACAAACAACTCTTAAATTCATCGAATTTTGTATAAAAAAATTATTAGTTTATGTTTAAAAAAAAAGTAAAAGTAGAAAGGATGTTTTGGCAAAAAAAAGTCTTTATAAGAAACCGCACATTCCATGTAATTCGTTGTTCACAATATGGTTTTGAAAATTTATTTTCGCTAAAAATACTTGATAGAACAATAAAATTTTAAACGATAACGTCAAAAAGCGACAAAAGGTTTGAATTAAAAAGAAATAAATTTACTTCATACTTTCTAAAATATCTCATTTATTTACATGACAGTTTCCTACCCTTACAAAAAAATCATCAAAAATCACCAAAAATGGTCAAATATTTTCAAAAATCTTCAAAAATATAATAATCTTCTAAAATCATCAAAAATCTCCAAAAATCATCAAATATTTTCCAAAATCTTCAAAAATATTTTAAAAATCATCATGTCATCAAAAATCTTCTAAAATCATCAAAAATCTCCAAAAATCATCAGAAACTATCAAAAATCATCAAATATTTTCAAAAATCTTTAAAAATCATCAAAAAAATCTTTATAAATTATCAAAAATCATTAAAAATCATCAAACAATCTTCTAAAATCTTAAAAAATCTTAAAAACTTTTCAAAAATATTTAAAAAATCTTCAAAAATCTTAAAAAAATCTTCTAAAATCATCAAAAATTATCAAATAATCTTCTACAATCATAAAAAATCTTCAAAAATCTTCAAAACTTTTCAAAATTATTTAAAAATCATCAAAAGTCATCAAAAATCATCAAAAAATCTTCTAAAATCATCAAAAATCTTCAAAAATCATCAAATATTTTCAAAAATCTTCAAAAAATTATAAAAAATCTTCTAAAACCATCAAAAATATTCAAAAATCTTCAAAACTCTTTAAAAATCTTTTAAAAATCATTAAAAGTCATCAAAAATCATCAAAAATTTCCAAAAGTCATGAATTATTTTCAAAAATCATCAAATAATCTTCTAACATCATACAAAATCTTCAAATATCTTCAAAGCTATTCAAAAAATTTTCTAAAATCATCAAAAATCTCTAAAAATCATCAAATATTTTTAAAAAACTTCAAAAATCATTAAAATTTATCAAATATTTTCAAAAATCTTTAAAAATCATCAAAAAAATCTTTTTAAATTATCAAAAATCATTAAAAATCTTCTAAAATCATCAAAAATCTCCAAAAATCTTTAAAAAAATCTTCTCAAATCATCAAAAATCTCCAAAAATCATCAAATATTTTCAAAAATGTTCAAAAATCATCAAATAATCTTCTAAAATCACCAAAAATCTTCAAAAAATTCTAAAAAATCTTCTAAAATCATCAAAAATATTCAAAAATCTTCAAAACTCTTTAAAAATCTATTAAAAATCATTAAAAGTCATCAAAAATCTTCAAATATTTTTAAAAATCTTCAAAAAATCACCAAATAATCTTCTAAAATCATAAAAAATCTTCAAAAATCTTCAAAACTTTTCAAAATTATTTAAAAAATCATCAAAAATCATCAAAAATCTTCAATAATCTTTAAAAAATTTTAAAAAATCTTTTAAAATCATCAAAAATCTCCAAAAATCATGAATTATTTTCAAAAATCATCAAATAATTTTCTAAAATCTTTAAAAAATCTTCAAATTCTTCAAAACTCTTTAACAAATTTTCTAAAATCATCAAAAATCTCTAAAAATCATTAAATATTTTTAAAAATTTTCAAAAATCATTAAAAATCATCAAGAAAATCTTTTTAAATTATCCAAAATTATTAAAAATCTTCTAAAATCATAAAAAATCTTTAAAAATCTTTAAAAAATCTTCTAAAATCATCAAAAGTCATTGAAAATCATAAAAAATTTTCAAAAAATTATAAAAAATCTCCCAAAATTATCAAATATTTTAAAAAATCTTTAAAAATCATCAATCAATCTTCTATAATCATCAAAAGTAATTAAAAAAATCATTAAAAATCTTCAAAAATCTTTAAGAAAAAGCATATAAAAATTTAATAAACAGAACACTTTGTTTTAGGATTCATTTTTGAACCCAGAGGACATTGAAAATCTTTTGCAAATTCTGGACGGTTCGCTAGGGAACCTATTACTCGAAATTCCTTTAGACTGTGAACATCTTGATTGAGGAATAATTTTCGAACTTTTGGAGTTACCTTCTCGCAGTAGCCTTGTGCAAAACTAATCCAAAAAAGTTGAGACTGCGTATAATTCAAACCAGGTAACATTTGCTCTGAGCTATGATCCTTCACCCATTTTTGATAAGCTAAATATGCTATTTTTAATCCTACATTATCGGCAATATTTTCAGCTTGTGTTTGAATGCCGTTTATCTAGAGATATGAAAAAATGGAAAATTAAAAATATGATAAATTTTAAGATTACAATTAAAAAATTAACCGTTAAAAATTGAATAAAAAAAAAGTAGAATTTTAAAAAAGTAGATTCTTTTATACTAACATTCAAATTAACATCTTCAACTGTATAGTTTCCATATTGAGAAATAAAACATTGTGCTTTTGTTGCAAATTGTTTTTGAGACGTAGGCTCCCACCAATCGTTTAAATTTCCATTTTTATCATAATGTTTACCCTGAGAGTCAAAACCATGTGTAAATTCATGACCAACAATACTTCCAATTGCACCATAATTCATATACATTGGTCTGCTTTCATTGAAGAATATTCCTTGAAAAATTCCTGGTGGTATACCTAAATTAAGGGAAAAATTTTATTTTCATATTTATTAAAAAAAAAAAAAAAAAAAAAAAAAATTAACAGTAATAATTATTTTTAAAAAAATTTAACAGTATAATTAACATACTAAAACTATTCTTGTTGATAACATTGAATGCATTTACATGTGTTGCATCATGCCGAAACAACATGCTGGACCTATTTACAGGTACCCTAAACGAACTAGTTAGTAATTTATGATTAAATTTCGAAATATTCAACATAGATTGGTAAAAATCGCCTGCAGTAATTTCCAAGTCTTTGTAAAATTCATCAATTTCATTGTCATCAGAAATTTGGAAATTCCTTTGTCGTTCAGCATGGAGTAAGGAAAGTTTCTCTAGAGCATAGTCCTTTGTCTTCTGGTCCAACCAATCCACCTGAATAAAAGTGAATTTAAACAATTTAAAAATCTGACATTGAAACTTTTTTTTTTTTATTATTAATGTTTCTATACACCAATATCAATGGCAGATTTTTCAATACTGTTCTTACATTTTTAATGATGATATAGAATTGATGGAATATATTATTCATCAATTCCTCAACATGTTTGTTATAAGATTCTTCATTAACGTAGTTTTTGATATAAAGTGTACCTAAATTAGACAAGAATGCTTGTCTCGTGAATATAAAACATGTCCCCCACTTTTCATTGATTTCAGAGAGATTTACATCAGAATCTCCATTGAGAATATCCTTAACGAATGTCCATATTACATAAATTGCCTGATCTCTTTTTGAAATGTTATTAATATGTTCGTTAAATTTTTTAAAGAAACTGCTATCTGAAACCAGTACAATATCGTCATCTCTAACTTCCGTCGATGGTTGTAATATTCCATTAAAAATTTCCCTCCATAAAATATTCGAATAGTTTCCTTCAAGTTCTTTAACAGTGATTCTATCGTAAATATGCGATTGTCTGTCGTTTTCGGGAATAGACATCTGTAAAATAAGAATTAAATTATTTCTTAATAGTTAAAAGTAAAAATTAAAAAAACAAAATTTTTTTTTTTAATTCTAACTTTAAAACAAGAACTAAAAATCTAAATAAAAATAGATTCAGAACTCATCTTAAAAATTAATATACTTACATTAATGAGCATACTGTTTATTTCATTAATTTGTTTGGTTATATCTTCAAATGGTACTTTGCGTTTTATAAGTTCAGGAAAAAAGTATTTTAGTGCACTAAAATCACTGGTAGACGCAGTAAGATCCGAAGGTTGTTCAAGCTAAAATAAGAGCTTAATTATTTTCTAACATAAATTTTTATGTCTTGCACTTGAAAATTAATTTTAAAAAAATTAATTTTATCTGCTATAAGAAAATATTTTCATATACATACCCTAAGAACAATATTTGAATTATTTTTCGTATCCAATAGAAGGTTCACCTTAAAAAAAGCTGCGCTTAAGAGACTAGACTCTTTTATTATTTTTAACTGATATTTTTCCCAATGGAAACTCTCATTTTTCATATGACTTTTTTTTAAATAGCTCCATCCATTAATTTTTGTTATAAGATCAACGGTCACTTTTGAATTTGATTCTTTCTCGTCAAATGCTTTATATGTACGGAAAATATAAATTAAAAATTAGAATACGACGAAAAAGTTATATAAATTATTTATCGGTATAAATATTTTTAAAAAAAAATTATCAAAAGTCGATTAAAATAATAATAATGTGAAATATTACTTACTTGAATTCATACAGTTGCGATAAAAAGTTTTAATTAATTTCACATATTTTGCATCAGTAGGTTTTAAATCTTGTTCTAGAATATTTTTCATCATTTGTTTAATTTCCTTATCGATAGAATTAAAATTGTCCTTTATAAAAATGTTGTCATCAGAAAGTACTTGTTTTCTCATGTATTGACCACAGGCGAATTTATAAAAATTGTCACAAGGGTCTAAACTTTCATCCATATAATTCATTACTCTTGATGCTGTAAATGAATCGTTTTCAGTAAAATTTGATTTTAAATACACTTGTTCTAGTTCTTATTTTAGAAAACATTTATGACATAATTATAAATAATAAAAAAAAAAATTATGTAAATATTAGAAATAGTTTTTAAAAATGAATATACCAACCTGTGTGAATGCATTCAGGTTTAATGCAATACTTAGTTGTATCATCTGATATTTTTTTAACACCATTCATTTCTGGAATGCTTCCATTGATAGTCTTTGATAATGGATACGGAGATAAATTTAAATTGAAATCTAAAAAATGATGTAGAAAGTTTTAAAAATAATTTCCTTAATAATAATTCTATAAGAAAAGTAAAAATATTTTAAAAATTAACACTCCGTTTATTAACACACAGGAAAGTTTTAAAGATGATGTTAATAAATATAGAATATTAATTATATTTTGGTAAAAAAAACACTTACTAAATTGTGAATTATAATTTTGTGCCTCTGATAAATTAACAAAGACTACAAGGCATAAAACTGTTAATCCATGTTTTAATCCTAATCGTCTTCGACACCTTTTGAAAACAGATTTTTGTTAATAAATAAATATAAATCTTTTTTTAAAAAAAAAATTAAGCGAATTCTAAAAGTAGCTATAATTTGATATTATCAGGAAATTGGGATTTGACAATTTTAAAATTCGCGCATTAATTTTTATGTAAAATGAATTTCATGTTATATGAAATTTATGTCAAATGAATTTTATATGTAATAAAATTGATGTTAAATGAATTTCATGTTAAATGAAATTTATGTCAAATGAATTTTATATGCAATAAAATTTATGTTAAATGAAATTTATGTCAAATGAGTTTTGTGTCAATAGATCTTTACATGTTAAATGAAATTTATGTAAAATAAATTTCATGTTAAATGCAATTTATATCAAGTGAATTTCATGTTAAATGCATTTTCTGTCAAGTGAATATCATGTTAAATGAATTTTATATGCAAATGAAAATGTAAAATGGATTTTGTATGCAATGAAATTTATGTCAAATGAATTTCATGTTAAATTGAATTTTTGTCAAATGAATTTAATATACAATAGATCTTTATGTCAAATTAATTTTATGTCAATTGATCTTTATGTCAAACAACTTTCATGTGAAATTAAACTTATATCAAATGGAATTTATGTCAATTGATCTTTATGTCAAATGAATTTTATATTAAATGAAAATTATGTCAAATGAATTTTATGTACAATGAAATTTATGTCAAATGAATTACATGCGTTAAATGAAATGTATGTCAAATATATTTCATGTTAAATGAAATGTATATCAAATGCGAATTTTATGTTAAATGAAATTTATGTCAAATGAATTTTATACACAATGAAATTTATGTCAAATATATTTCATGTTAAATGATATTTATATCAAATTCGAATTTTATGTTAAATGAAATTTATATCAAATATATTTCATGTTAAATGAAATTTATGTCAATTGAATTAAATGTTCAATAAAATTTTTGACTTTCACACCTTTAGATTAATTAATTTTTTCAATTTATTTCTGCTTATTAAAAAAAATACCTTACCTGTCAGAATTTCCCTCTTCGCTATTGAGCATTTTGCAAATTTAAAAAATACACTTTTTTAACCACATACAATTATAAATTTAACCTTTGATAGATTTGCAAAATAATATATTTTAGTTACAATATGTTCACTTGTCTGAGTCTAAACTCGAAATGTTATGTATTCTACGTGTTTTTAATATTATATAGAGACGAGATCTATGCAAACCATTGTACAAATTATCTTAATATACTTTTGGGAACGTCATTAATTTGTCATCCACTTAACTAGAATTTTGAGTGTTTACTAATATAAATAAAAATAAGATCGAGTTATAATGATAAAAGTGATATTATAATCAAATATTACTAGGCCATTAACAAATACGTTATGATTTATGGAATTTCGAAGAATAAATTTAAAATTCAGATTAAAATATCGTTATAAGCGTTTATTGTAAAAGGGTATAATTAGTAGAGTTCAAATAAATTCTTATTTTTCAATCTTATTGTAACTATTGTATGATATCACTGGTATTTATTACGTTTCTTCAAATTAGAAAGTTTGTTGTTTTCCAAGTACTGTACCTCCAAGAATTTAACTGATCTTTTAAATTTTTTTCAAATCTTATTTTTCTAATCTTTTTTAAATGAAGGATGTCAGTTTTTAATTTTAAGCCTTTTAGTTCTAAGCTTTTTTTTAATAATTGTTAATGCAAAAAAACAATTTTTACTATAATTCCGGTACGTGGATCGTAATATTTGAAAAAAATCATCTTTACTTGTTCGTTTGTGTTTTTTCTTCTTCAAAGAGCTACATTATTATCAGATAATCCAGACCTTCGTTGCACCAAAAATTAGAAATCATGCTTTGGGTGTCGCAAAAAAAAAGGAAATATATTTAAATATATTTTAGTATAGAAAAAAGTAGTTGTGTATTTTATAATTTTATTCAATGCTTCATAATTAGAAGAAATAAGAAATTATCTCTCTACCTATAATAAATACAGGATTTGGAATTTTTTTTTCAATCCCATTTAATTTCTTTTCAGTTCTGATTTCAAAAGATTAATTTTGTGAATGTACTTCCAAGATTATGTGGTTGATTGAATTTTTTTTTCTTTTCTCAAAGGAAATTAACAGGAAACGAAATGTATTGATTCTATTCTATACGCGAAATAAACTATTAACTATTATTATATTAGAACTTCTCTATTTAGATGTTATAACTATTTTTTAGAATTTTTCTGATTTAAAAATTTTTTTTAAGTAATTTTTATTTATGAAGAATAATAATAAATATTAAACAAATAGTTTTATTTGAAAAAAAAGAAAAGAGTGATACAGGAAAATATTATACCTATTATAAAATAATTCAATTCTGATTCATTGTAAGTTTGGAAATTGGAATTTAAAAATTTCACAAAAGTTGGCAATAGTGAAATTTTCTTTGATAAAAATTTGATAAAACAAAACTCTGAATTTTAAAATCGTTAAAGTATTTTGAAGTAATATAAGAAAATGTTTTTAACTGAAAAAAAAGATAAACTGATTGAAATTTACGTAAAGTATTTGAAGCTATTAAGTTTTTTTTATATGTTTATGGGATGGTAGAATTTATTGAAACTTCACGTTTAATAGATAATAATTTTTTACTGGATTTTTAAAAATATTAACAATAAATAATGATTTTTAACATAGAATACAATATTTATTCAAATTTTGCAACTAATAGATTTTTGGGGCGAGACTTTGTGGATTAAATTGAAAGGATTCATTAAGGATACCACGCTGTTGCTGTTTGTAATTATTCATTTAAACAAAATGGCATCAAATCGTGTATTGCGCAATTTTTGCGTTATTTTCTGTATTTTATCAATATGGTCTAACACTGTTGTGAACACTATGGATGAATGGGATAATCTGAGTAAGTTTAAGTTTAAAAAAATTCTATCGAGTTTCGTGCTTTTTGCACAAATCTATAACTTTTATCCATTAATATCAGTTTTTGAGAATCCTAAATATTTATATTTTCATGTTATAGACGAATTGCCAGATTTAGGAAGAGGTATGAATTTTTTATATATTTATTATATTATAATTCTTTATATCTATACATTATTACACATAAAATATAAAATGCAATATCACTTTACAGATGAACTGGAAATGTACGGAATTGGTACACGGAGAAAATTTCTTTAATAATGATTACAATAGTCTATATTACAGCTCGGATATGTGACCACTTTTTGTAATGATTACGAAAACTATGTAATTTATTAAGAATTTAGTAGGAGCGATTACTATAGTTACTTTAATGAATCCAAACGCTGTATTAATCGTGTTGAAATTTATTTTTGGGAATCATTAATAGTTTAGATGTACTGGTTCAGAAAGGGTACTGTAGGCATTCTTGCAGAGACTTGTTATAATTACAATAGTCTACGTTAAAAGGAAATCTTGGATACTGTTCACATTTGTAGCGGTCTAAGGAAATCAGTGATACAGACTGTAGTAGCCTTTACAACAGAACTATTGTAAAATAAGGTGACCGCGGCTGCCTTGCCTTCTTATTTTACTATAGTTCTTCGTAAAGACTACTATTGCTATATTTCTGATTACAAATGACTGTTGTAAAGTTAAAAAAGAAAATTTTCAACTAAAATAAATTTTTTTTGTAATTCATGACTTGCGTAAAGTACGTAAGTTACCTAATTAATGCAATTTACAATAATTCGTCCATTACGTAACTTAAGTTATTTACGAAATTGCAACTTACGTTATTTACGTAACTTATATTTTTACGTGTCATACATTATTTACGTAAATTATATTTTTACGTAACTTACGTAATTTACGTAAGTTAACTTACTTATTTGTGTAACTTACTTTTGTTATTTACGTAACTTGCGTAAGTTATGTAACTTACGTAAGTTGTGAAAATTATATAACAATTTATACAGGCAAGAAATCTTTTACCTTCGGTGCGTGTGTTAGAAAAAAAATTTTCACTATGGAAATGTAATAAAAAATAGACCTTACAATATTAAAGACTAACAATGAACAATAATTGTATTAAATATTGAGAACGAAGTGATTTTTTTACATTTAAAGTGTATAAGTCTTTCTCGCAAGCGGTGAACTTTCATAGCAGTTAGTATATAAGGAAGTTTAAGTCATGTATAAATATGTGTAAATACTAAATAGCGATCGTTATTATGTTATGCGTTTAGTATTTAAGTTAGATTTATGTATTTAGGGTTTAGTGAAATTGTCTAGTTTAATAATGTAATTAATCTTGAAGTGGGTAGTCTTGGAAGAGTGAAATTAATGTGCAATACATGATTAGAAGTCATGAATTCCAAAAAAAATTTATTTTAGTTGAAAATTTTCTTTTTTAACTTTACAACAGTCATTTGTAATCAGAAATATAGCAATAGTAGTCTTTACGAAGAACTATAGTAAAATAAGAAGGCAAGGTAGCCGCGGTCACCTTATTTTACAATAGTCCTGTTGTAAAGACTACTACAGACTGTGTCACTGATTCCCTTAGATTGCTGCAAATATGGATAGAATCCAAGATTTCCTTTTAACGTAGACTATTGTAATCAGTCACATAGACTTTGTGCTAACTCATATTTAGTTCGTATTTATTTCAAATAAATTTTTAATGAGTACGTTCGACTTACAGAATTGTTACAACGAAGCTACTTTAGGCATTACGAAAAGTGGTCATATATCCGAGCAGTACTGTTTGACTATTGTAATCATTAACAGAAAATTTTTCTCCGTGTATGATGAAAATTCTAAGTAACTTTGTCATTAACAAGTTCTAAAGTATTATCAATAATATTCATTAAAAATTTTTTAAATGTTTCAGAATTTCAAGATGCAGATTCAGGTATATTGGGTATATATTAGAATATAGACTTAAAAAAAATCCAGTGGGCATTAGAAAATATGGGCATATTTCTAGAACTTTTAAACTTTCTGTTTCCGTTTATTATTATATTTTAAAAATTATAAAAATAATATTGCAGTACTATAATTTGATAAATTATTGTGCTCTTTAAATATAAAAACCTTGTGTATAATAATCAGTTTAATTAGGTAGGGAACGACAAAAGTAAGTAAAAGTGACGAAATCGCCAAATCTCGTGTGTGACATTGACTGTTTTTTTCAGTTTATATTGTATAACTTTTCTAACGAGTCATTATATATTTTGTGACTAATAGTAGATGTAGTGGGGATTACAAGGAACCAAAAAATCATTGAGACAATGATGTGCCTCAATTAAAATAAAAATGGTGTACCTTCAAACTTGCGAGACAACTTTTCTTAAATTCTGACAATTTAGCAATTAACTTATTGATATAACTTTTTTAACGAAGATTTTTAAGTAACCATAAAACGGGGTTACATTGTCTACATAATAAGAAATAATTTGAACCCTTACACGAATATGTGCCACTTATACATTAGGAATGCAGTGACTTCAAAAGTTAAATTTAAAAACGAAACTCATAATAAAAACCCACATTTTTGAAGGGCACATGTTGAATTTGACTTCTAATCACATTTAATAACTCATTGTAATCTCTTCTCGTACGTTATAAAAGTATACAGAAAAATCGTTAACCTCTACACTATTCCTAAAAAGAATTTATCTAAACAAGAATTAATCAATTTTAAATTTCATTTTATTTTCATAAGCGTAATTTAATTTTAAATTATTCATTTAATTTATTATTTAAATTTTATTCTGTTTTTAGAATTGTAAACTTCTTTTTTTCTAAGTTTCCATGGTAATATTGTTTTTAATGTGTCAAAATGTTTTGATTGCCGAATGTAGATATTATGTATTTTATTTAAATAATATTAATTATGGATAAAGAAAGGGAAGTAAAACTTTCAATTAAAACGTTATTCATTTTTTCTTCATACTGTTTGTACTTTTAATATAAAATAAAACTAGAAAACTTTTTAGAATATTAAAATAATTATATCTCGTGGATATTTATTTGTTCACTTCTATTGCTTTTTAATGATAATTAATCCCAAAATATTTTCAAAACAGTATTTAAAATATCATTAATTTTTATGACATTTTGAAACCACTTTTAAAATTTTTAAAAAACTAAATTCAGATACATATTAATAAGCGACCCCAAAAACCCCTTCATACCCACTTCTGTGTAAATTGAATTATTTTTTAAATTTTGATACCAGTCAAATTGTAGGGGGGAGATTAACTGGCTCAGAAATGGACAATTGAGATTGTCGGTAAACAAAGGTTCGATGAGTTGAAAAGAGAGTTACTAATAAGCGCTTAATTGATCTACTTGATAACGGAGTGATGTCGAGAGGATAACCAGCTCGACGTATGATGTTGTGTGTCCGAGAGGATAACCAACTCGGTTGTTATGTGTGGATGTCGAGAGGATAACCAACTCAACGTATGATGTTGTGCGTCCGAGAGGATATTCTAAGTCCGAAGTTGGACGAAAATATTCTAAGTTCAAAATTGGACGAAAATATTCTAAGTCCAAATTTCTTCGAAAATTTTCTAAGTTCAACTTTGGGTGAAAACTTTGGGTTGTTATGTGTGGATGTCGAGAGGATAACCAACTCAACGTATGATGTTGTGCGTCCGAGAGGATATTCTAAGTCCGAAGTTGGACGAAAATATTCTAAGTTCAAAATTGGACGAAAATATTCTAAGTCCAAATTTCTTCGAAAATTTTCTAAGTTCAACTTTGGGTGAAAACTTTGGGTTGTTATGTGTGGATGTCGAGAGGATAACCAACTCAACGTATGATGTTGTGCGTCCGAGAGGATATTCTAAGTCCGAAGTTGGACGAAAATATTCTAAGTTCAAAATTGGACGAAAATATTCTAAGTCCAAATTTCTTCGAAAATTTTCTAAGTCCAAATTTCTTCGAAAATTTTCTAAGTTCAACTTTGGGTGAAAATTTTCTAAGTCCAAATTTCTTCGAAAATTTTCTAAGTCCAATTTTGTGCGAAAATTTTCTAAGTACAAACTTCGGAATTTTAGTATAAGTATAACGTAGTGGTTAGGCTGAGCGGAGGAGGAAGACCAACCTCTAGGTGAGCTCAGGACAGAACTCCGTTATCAAGTAGATCAATTAAGCGCTTATTAGTAACTCTCTTTTCAACTCATCATCGAACCTTTGTTTACCGACAATCTCAATTGTCCATTTCTGAGCCAGTTAATCTCCCCCCTACAATTTGACTGGTATCAATTGGCGCCCAACGTGGGGCCCGGACCCACGACCCTGAGATTAAGAGTCTCATGCTCTACCGACTGAGTTAGCCAACCTAACATGAACTCTACTACTAAGTGAGCTCTTTCTTGAGCTCTTATCTCTAATAGGGGGGGCTAATCTCCTTCGGCTGCTCCCCCCTCTACCATTTCTCTATACCACTTCCGGGAGTGGTTACTAAAACCCGGTGGCGCTCAACCTTGTCTCAGCACGGTCAGTCATGAGCAATCTAATGCTTTTGCCCAAGCCGCACTCTAGTTTCTGTACAAACAGGATCTGTATCACAGATCTTGCAGATTGCGTCACATAATGTTACGCCTTCAAAAATCTTACTTTTCAGTTTCCATTCGTAGCTTACGCTAACTCCACTACGCAGTGTCGCCATTTGTAAGACCCATACTTACGCGCACTTTTAAATCATAGCATTTCCACTTTACGGACCAGGTTGCCCTTCCACTGCCTAAGAAGTGTTGCCTCTTAAGCTTATAAGTCCCATTCTTACTTGCTATTTAAGAATCTTCCGCTTTTACATTGCAATCTAGCACGCCCAACCACCATAAAGGGGGCGCTGCTGGTCAGTTTGTAAATTTTACGTTCTTTTTTAGACTATCGCACTTTCTGACTTCAGCCTAGTCCGCCTTTTCTCCATAAAGGGGACGCTACTGCTCAAGCCTAAATTTTCCACTCTTAGTCTTTACTATGAGACCTTCGCTTTTTACCCTTTTACAATCTGGTACGTCCTGACACCATAAAGGGGGCGATTCCTATCAAAGCAGTAAGGCTCAGCCTTATTAACTGCACTCAAACATCATCTCTCGTTATCACAATGTTTAACTTCCATCCTCTAAATGGGTGGAGGGCACTGATAACCTAGCTTATAAGACTCTTTCTTATTTTTCTACGCCTTTAAGACCTTTCTCTATTTCACCGCTCGAGCCTAAATTTTCCAAAAAGGGGGCGAGACTGATTTTTTCAAGCTAGTAAGATTCCTCTTACTCGCTCTGCCTATCTATTTCCACGAATTGCTTTCCACGCCTCAGTCCTTTAAAACTGAGCGGGTCTGCTCCTCCACATCCAAAACAATGAATTCCCTAGAATCATTGTCGTCTATCACAACTTCGTACACAGGTACCATAGTGTTCTCACACTAACCATGTACTTTGCCACTATATCTTTTCGATCTCGTTTTAAGGTACTTAGTCATTCTACTAGTTCAGTATGATTAATACATTTCTTAAGTTAGATTTAGAAATTCTACTTCTCTTCTGCTATCCACTCACTACATTTTGCTCTTACTTATCCACATTATAACTCTATATCCTAATATCTCTCTGTAAGAATAAACTTATCTCTCACGTCTGTGACTACAAGTCTATTGCCATCCTAGTCAATCAGTAAGTTTACAAACTTATACCATCGGACGATGTTATAAATGACAAGGAAGCGAAGTTGTCTAACCAGCTCATAGCCAAGAAAGCATGCCCTTTCTTGCACGCCAGCTCGACGTAGCAACTCCTCCCTTCTATTGGACCAAGCAAGGTTCATAGCTTCCATCTAGTCACTATAGGCTGAACAAGCCTGATGACTAATTATTAAGTGAAGTCATTGGTGATCGCATGCATCGCCCCCAAGATGACAAGCTTACCTCCAAAAAGCTGAAAAAATTAGGAGCAGGACGTGACATCGGATGATGTCACAAAGGGTCAATACCAGACTAATTCCATCCAATGAGACAGATCAGAAACAAGCCATATTAGACCTATTCTTATTTATCCTAACAGAGAAATTCTTCTATATACAGGGTAATCCTTTTCTAGTTCGATTTGTACTATCTTATCTTCGAATCAAGAGCCTAGAACTGAACAAGTTTTACGTTCAAATAAAAAATGCTCAGACTTTATACCAAAGTTTCTAGTCCCCATTTTCTGAACAAGAAACGGACAACAATCCTTTGTCTGAAAGCATTAAAACCAAATCTTCTTTAAACCATCTTTAAACAATTCACGAATCTCTGGACGGAGTTCGTGAATAGCATCGTTGCCCTAATATAATCACGCTCCAATCGGAGTAACATTCAAACGCACGTCAGATGAACAAGGTGAACGGCTGTCAACTCGGACGAGTTGATTCTCTATAGGCTGAACAAGCTAAGCCCTATTCCCTTAATTCTGAATTGTAATTAGTAACGAAACCTAATTACAATTACGGTCTCCCGGACGGGATGGCCCTGATGCAACGCGTAGCTGAAGCAGCCTACGACAACACTACTCAAGGACTATTCCAGAGAACTGCAACAATGACACATGTGGCTGGAAAAGCTCACGTGTCCAACTCGCCAACAACCAACAACCAAGAAGAAGATCCAAGAGAAGAAAACATCTACAAAGAAGATATACCGTCGAACTTCCTTCATTGAAATAAAATCTGTAACTACGTATCTACCAGTCTGCTTCGAACAACTTTTCAATTCGTAACTATTGTCTTTCCAAGAAGGGAGTTGATACAGGTCACTAAATGGTAAGGAAAAAACAAAATATTATTTTTCGTTCCCGCATAGTCTTGGTCGAGCCAATGTTACTATCCTAAAAGAAAATTGTAATGCCATTTTTAGTTTAC